CTTTATTTATCCCCTTTGCCATCCCCACTATAGAATATGATTTTTGTAAGTATAGTGACTTAGTTTTGTTCAACATTGTATTCCTAGCACGTAGAAGGCTGAGCCAATCAGTAAAGGTTATTTCCACATTCTTGGAAACTCTGGTCAGGAATTCTTGGCATCTTTTTTAATGCCTTTCCCTCTTTCATTCTGTTTTCCTCGGCCAGTCTTGTCTCTGAGAATCATTTTCATGCTGGATTGTTCGTTTTCCTTTCCAGAGCCACCCTTACTATGCCGCATACTGATGTAAGTGCTTTATAAATTAGCTCATGTAGTTGTCCCAGTATTCCTATGAGATACATACTACCAATACCCACATTTTATATTTTACAGAGGAGGAAACTGAAGCACATAGCTGTTAGGTAACTAGCCCAGGCCACACAGCATTTAAATGGTTAAAAAAAAAAAAAAAAGAAATTCTGACCTCTGCGCCTTTAGTCATGATGACTGAATCCTTCCCTTCCTTCTCTGCTTGTCTTGATCCCTATCACCTTTGAAGATGCTTAGGTACCTACTCTTTAATGGAATCTTCTGCAGTCATTGCAGCCAGCATTCTTTTCTACTTTTTTACTCTCACTGCAGCTAGAATTGCTACCACATAGTTTGTTCCTTATTCTCCAATTTGATTATTAACCTCTTATGATCAAAGATCATCCTTTAGGATTTGTCTGTCTTCACCATGTGACATCGGGTGGTGTTCAGACTATAGTGATGGAAGCTGGATGCTCAGTAAATATTTGTGCAATGACTGTTAGACACTTAAAAATCTTTCAAGTGATTTTTATTTCAGTGTTAATTGCTCATAACCAAGAAAATATGTGTACCTTAAATTCTCTAAGTAGGGAAACAGGGATGAAGTAAATGCTTCTCATGTCAGTGACCTTCATATGCTTAGAGAATTGGCTTGTTAAGAAATACAGAATGATCAGGGTTTTTATTTGGATCAAAGAGTAATTTAATTGTACCTTGAAATGATTAAGTAGTTGGATGGTAGCAACCCAAACCACGGTGAACGTCTTCTGTATAAAACGTCCCAGAGCAGTTCTTAGGTCCCCTGGAAGAGTCAGGTGCACTGAGAAATGCTTTTCAAGCAACAGGACTTATTCAGTAATAAAGAGATAATAGGTGTTTACTTGTTCTTTTAAGAACACAGTTCTCGGCCTCTCTCGTTTAGGTGATCTGTCCTGCCTCCTCCCCCGCCGGTCCCCCACCGCCCCCGGTGGTCGCCCTTGTCCGTTCTCGTCTGTGTGGAGAACACAGCTCTCAGTGTAGTCTGCCCGCAGAAATAGTGAAACCTTCTGTCATCAGAGGCCGCTCATCATCGCATAGTTGTGCAACTGATTTATGTCGTCAGGTTTAAAGTAATGGGAATGTGTGTGTGTTCCCAGTAATATCTGATGTAGCAGAAAGCTAGCTGTCTTTAATATTACTTTTCAGGTGACCACAGAATGGAGCTCTTTTAGTTCTCAGATGCAAGTCTGTAGTCAAAAAGAATGCAGGACTTTATTTCCAACACTGTATAATTTTTACGTGTTCTGAGCCTGACTTTTTACATTTGATTTGATTTGATTTCAGATGGCTCTGGCACATATTTTCTTGCCTGAGGAGGCAAGGTAGAGAGAGGTTGGAAGTGGAGGTAGATAGTACGTCCACTCACTCATTCTGTGGATGTTATCTGGGGGTCTGCTATTTGACAAGCACTGTGATTAACAAGAGGCATGGTGAGGGAAAGACAATTAAACAGAACACGTGATAACGTGTGACAAGGGCTATGAAGAAAACAAAAGCGGTGTGGTAACTGATGGGCAGACTTCGGGTCCTCCTGTCTGAGGAGACATTAAACTGAAGACCGAAGGCTGGTGACATTGCCTGAAGAGAAGAGTAAGGGAGCGACTCAGGGAAGCTGGCAAAGTGTCTACATCTTTGTTGAAGGGTTGACTGGTACTAAAAATCGAGGTTATAAATCGATTCCTATGGCTCTTGCTATTAATATGTCTCAGGTTCATTGCCCAGCTCCTTAAAAATCAAAACAAATTCCCATGGAGTAGGTTACAACTTAAAGTCTGACCACTTTGATATTACAAATTCAAGATATCAGAATATTTTATTTAATTTGTTTCTTTAAAACCAGTGTCTTAACGTCACCCTATTTGAACTTTAGGGGCAAATGACTAGAAAGGAAGTACCTGGAAAAGCTATCAGAATTTTTCTGCTATATGTAACAGAAGACTCAACTACCAGTAGATTAAGTGCATGGGGTTTATTGATTTACATAACACATAATAAGTAGGGGATCAGGCAGTTCCATGGAAGGTTAATACAGTGTCCCCAGAACAACGAGGGACCCAGGGTCTTCTTTCCAAGCGATCATCATTGGCATGCTGTGGGTTCTCCCTTCGCGGTCACACAGCAGATGCTGCGGTTTCGGGCATCACACCTTTGACACAGTGGTAGCCAGTGAAAGAAGAGGCACATTCCTTCCTGTGTGTTTCTCTTTAGAGATGGGGGATTTTTACCTAGAGTGCTGCACCCTCTCACTCCCGCTGCCGTCCCCCCAACCTCGCTGGCCAGAGCTCCACCACATGGGTCTGGCCAAACTAGTCATTGTCCAGGGCACTGAGAGCACTCAAACTGATTTAGGCCAGTCATCCCTGAGGTTGGGGAAAGGTGGGGGTTACCTTTACGAAGCATATTGAAGGGTGAACACCCAACAAAATCGGGAAGATCAGCAAGGAAACAAAGGGAAGTGGACAGGAGGAGAGAATGGCTGCTGGGCAGGCTGGACGCAGGACCTCGGGAGTCCACGGTGCAGGCCTCCCCCGCTTTTCCAAAGTTTGCATTATGCACTTCGCATTTCCGAAAGACCTATGTCAGTACCTGTTTTCCCTGATCGAGAGAAATCCGAAGAAGACTCACTTTTAGGAGAAAATGTGAAAAGTGAAAGTGTTCAGCATTGTTTGCATGAGCCCTTACGGAGGCAGTGCGCCCCAAGCAGCGAGAGGGGCCCCGCCCAGCTCCTTCCCGGGAGCCGCACTCAGCATCAAGCCCCCACCTTCGGACTGTGTCCGTGAGCATCTGTGCCTTATCTTGATTTATTTTGTGTGTCCATGAGCAAAATGTGTCCTCCGGTATCAGAAGAGTTCAAGAGAGCTCATAAGGGTGTTACACTTAGCGTAAAACGACATAATTAAGCATATTTGGTATAATTTGGTGGGTTATTTGGGGGGTATGGGAAGGCTCAAAAATAATGGTAATTGCTTCCTAGCTCTACGCCATTTCAGCTTAGGAAAGCTTTCACAGGAACACTCTACTTCCGGACGAGGGAGAAACCTGTATTACTGACGAGAGCTGTTAGCGGATGCTCATATTCTCTACTGCACACTTAGCGACCGTCTTATTCCCAGCACTGGCAGGTGAAATGGTGAGAAGCAGAGGGTTTGGTTAACCTCGGCCTTACTGGTGCTTTCTCCAATACCAGTGGCGCGAAGCCAGGCACACCATGCCCTGACACATTTACAGTAAAGCTTTTTAAAAGTTAGATGTCTTACCATAAAATATATAACAAAAATGAGGAAGTACATACAATGTATGTATCATTTAAAGGATAATGACATGACAGCCTTACCTGTTTTGAGCACCTCTGAAGCTCCCTAAATGACCCTCCCCATTTGCATCTACTACTCTCCCCTGGGGGGAGGGGGACCACCACCCTGAATTTCTGAGTTAATCATTTTCTTCTCTTTATAATTTATATACGTATTATTTCCTTAAGTTTGTTTCTCAAACTTTCCTATGTATCAGAATCACCTAGAGAGCTTGTTAAAACAGACTGCTGGGCCCTCACCCAGAGTTTCCGAGTCAGTAGGTGTGGAGTAGGGCCGGGACTCTGCATTTCCAACACTTTCTCAGGAGATGCTGGTGCAGGGACCGTGAGAACCACTGTTTTACAAATGCCTGTTTATAAATGTATGTATGTTCTGTAATTTATTTAAGTTCATTACAGTTTTTAAATTCATCTTTAGTGATGTGTGGGTAGCAATGGGTCATTCATTTTCACCATTGTATATAGTATCCCATTTCTCCTTAAAAATATATGCCACATATGATTATTGTTTTCCACAGCCTTGCGAGGGAAAAGGAAGAGGAATAGGAAGCACATTTTTTAAGGCACCAACAAAAGTTGATTCCAAACCTATCACGCTTCCAGCACCAGTGGCCCCTGGCTTCCATGGCTCAGGGCCTTGCCACCCTTGGAAAGAAAGGATAAGAGCCCAGACTCGCCAGGAGGTTTAGGAGACCTGGGGTGTACCAGGCAGAGCAAGACTCACATACCTGTCAGGATCCTTCAGTATAAAATAGACCTTATACTGGAACACTGGCCTACCCTAATCAAATTAGAATAGAAGGGAATGTAACAAACTTAGTATTCGCTTATAATGGGCTAAGTACTGTTGTTGAATAAATTATGAACGATCAGAAGGGCTGAATTTATAAAAGTGTGAATGAAATATGTTCTCTTTCGGATCCTCTCAATAATTGTATGTGGCATATATTTTTATACCTGTACATAAAAAATTAAGAAACTTGCCCAAAGTCACAGACCTAATATAAGGCAAAGCCAGACTTTAAACCTAGGTCTGATTACAAATCACATCATCTTCTCATTTACATTGCTGCCTCCCTAGGGCTGAAATGCAGGCCTTCTCAATCCTTGGCGTTTAACCACTGAGGCACACTCCCGAGGTGTATCCTAACTTCCTCTGATAACTGTTTCCAATTAGTGTTACCTGAACATCGAAACCACCTTTCATGGTTCTTTCCATAATTAGTTGGAATAGATGTCGCATGAAAGAGTGGGAGGAGACCTGTTGACACATTGTACTGTTTGTTGGACTTGAATGTCTGACTTGGATTTATATGCTTGACAACTGACTATACCTCCTTGTGCTTTTGTCCTTCAGAGGATTTCCAAAGAAGGCCAACAGAACTGCTAGAATTGCCTCTGATGAGGAGATTCAAGGCACAAAAGATGCGGTCATTCAAGACCTGGAACGTAAACTTCGCTTCAAGGAGGACCTCCTGAATAATGGCCAGCCGGTACTGAGGGGGTCTGGGGCCTGAACGCGGAGCATTAGCTCTCACATCGAAGAGCTCTTCCCTCACCTCGCTAAGACCTAGGTCCCTAAGATTTAGCCTCAAAATTGATTCTGTAACCCCCTGAATCTCAACATTCCCCTTAGTGTTATGGCTTGAATCTGGGGAAAAGGGAGAGAGTGAACTGGCTTCCTTCTACTTGTCTCCTCCTTCATCTCCTCCTCCTAGTCATGCAGCCGTTCCTGGAGTGAGGATGGCAAGTTGGAGACGAAGGAAGAAGGGCTGATTTTCAGGTCCGGAGTAGAATAAACGGGGGACTTCGATGTTATAAATACTTAGTAGGAACAAATTCCTGGGAGGGTTGGCAAGGGAGGGAAGGGAGAAGGTGCTCTGAATAGGTTTGTATCGACCCCAAGGCAGCGAATAAGGATTAAAGTGTCAATAGGAGAGTCGGGGTCCTATGACTTGTACTGCTTGTAGAAGTACAAAAAAGATCTTTCCTTAGGAAACCATTGCTGACGTCTAGTTCTGTTCTACGAGATGATTACTAGATACTGGTTCAGTAATCGGAAAAGTAAAGCTTGTTTTACAGTCTTGTTTTAGTTTCTCAGTGCAAGACAGCTAAACTCAAGGAAAAAATCATATTTCAAGGCTGCAGAATTGTAGAGTAGATAATTGTGGTTACACACACACACACACGTATGTATATATATGATGTTTTCTCCATTGGACTTAAATGTTTCCTCATCATTTTTTTTTCACTGCTTCTTATCACATGAGAATGTTTTGAGGCAGCAGTCCCCAACCTGTGTGGCAACAGGGACCAGTGCTCCTATGAGAATCTAGTGCCTGATGATCTGAGGTGGATCTGAGCCGGTGATGCTAGCGCTGGGGAGCAGCTGCGAATACAGATTGTTCACTTGCCTGCCACTCACCTCCTGCTGTGCGGCCCGGTTCCTAACAGGCCACAGTACTGGTCCGGGGGATGGGGACCCCTGTTTTAAGGAGACAGGAAAGCAAATCTAGCAAATAAGGTTTCCCGGGTAAAGGAAAGGGGCCTTTTAGAGGCTTTATTATGGAATTAGCACCAGAAAAATTTGGCCATTAAGTACAAGAGGAAAAGGGCCTCTTGGTGTAAAATCTCCCTCTCAGACACCTTTTCAGAGTAGAAAGCTCTCTATACTAATTATGTTTTCTAGGAATTTTAATTATTGAGCATTGATAAATAAACATGTGAGAACAGACCATGTTTGATTGGAAAGGTGGAGAATAGAGGGAGGGGTGTTGAATGCTGATTTTAATTATTAGGGCATCCTAACTGGAGTTCAGGAAGATTAAAATTCTAATGAGATCTTTTGTTATTCATTTCACTGAGAATAGACTTTTACAAAGGGAAAATATTTTCTCCCTGAAATAAGTGATTGCATGTGTATATGTACATACTTTGGAAGTTTTCCCTGGTTCTGTCAACTAAAGCCTTTGAGAGATTAAAACAAGTACTTATGGGAACTTTTTCAAGACAGGTACAGAAAGGCATCTCTCCAGTTTTTTTTCCTTTTTGGTTTTTTATTCCTATGGACTAAGATTCTCCTGGTTAGAATAAGACTTCTATAAACTAATAAGCTAGTATGGCATATTATGTATATTATATATACACAGTATTTATATTTATCTGTTTAAGCATATATAAATATATAAATGCTTTTATATATACATATTTCTATAAAAGATTTTATACATATCTTTTATATATTTTTAAAATATATAACAGTGAATGGCATTCATAATAAGTTCCATAGATTTCCACATTTGAGAGTTTAAAAGGACAAGAAAAGTAAGGCTTCTCTTTTTTAGAAAATGGGCCCCTCAAACAACCTTTTCCTGACGTCACATATCATTCTGTTACTTATTTTCGGCTTCTGTAGACAGGGCTTGTGCGTCCACAGGGATCGGTGTTTAGAAACTCCTGTGAAGTAAATCTGCTTTCCGATGGTAGGTAGCAGGTGCATTCTGGTGAAGGACTGAATGTCAAATTGTATTTTTACTCCAGTCCTCCCTTTGAGGTGATGCAGTTCTCCATGGAAACACTGGGAAGGCTTTTAAGGGAGCGGGCATTTAAAACGCTTTGAAAATTGAACTCACTGGTTTTTAAGGGGCTTGAGAGCATTAATTTAAATAACAACATAGCGGACTGAGATACTCCATGCACTAAACTCCTACCTCCACCTCTTCTTGTCCTCTGCCCCTTCTTTATTAAATGAAATAATTGGAACTTCAGGACTATTTGTCATTTGGCAGTTGACTTGTTTCACTTCCCGGTTTCAGCTGGGACTGAAACCAGCAATTACTGGAAATTGTAAATTTACCCAACATATTTTTCTGATTAGAGAGTTTCCAATAGAATTTGTATCTATATTCAGACATTTGAAAGTTTATATGAAATAACTTCTGTACTCTTTTTTTTTAGATTCTGCCTTACTCATTATTCTCTATTTCCAATCAAACACTTGTTGGTAAAATGCCCCAATGGGGCAAGTGGTCTCTGAAATTTCCTCCCAGACCTATAATTCTAAGGCGTTTTAGAACCAACACTCAAGAGCAGGAATAAGCCCAATAGACAGAACAAAAATGTTGGCATTTCTTTTAAATGAGAATGGCCTACCAAAAATGGTTTTGGCCAAAGTGCTGGTGCTAGATGCAGAAACATTACCACTTATTTTGCCTGATGAACAAGCAGTTTTCCTCTAAGTAGAGTCATGAATTGGGGCTATTACCATTGGCAAGTATCTTTCATAGTCCTTTTGCTAGCTTGGCCATGTGCAGTCCTTCTTTGTAGATTATTATAATTGTCTATATTCACCTATGTGAATATATTTTTCCTATAGGCTAGGAAAATGCTCTTAGAGGTGAGGCCCCCAAAGCACTGCTACTTGATCTAAATATTTATTAAGGGTAAGTATATGACATGTATTTTCTAGGTGGTTTCTGCCTTGTTGCTTATTTTATCACCTTAAATTTGTGCTGTATTAGTTGTTGGCTCTGAAGATTAGTAACCCCCTTTTCCCAACACTCGATTAGGCCACTAGGGCCAGAAGGGGAGGTGAGAGAGGCAGGACGACTGAAGCAAGATTCCTTTCACGTACCTGGTATCTGAAGGAGAGAGAATGGTTACAGAAAACACCAAAATTCATTTGTTTGTTTTCTTTTTCATGAGGCGGTACATATTTGTGATTCTCCTAATTTTGTATTTTTTATCTTTTTTCAGAGGTTAACATACGAAGAAAGAATGGCTCGTCGGCTACTAGGTGCTGACAGTGCAACTGTCTTTAATATTCAGGAGCCAGAAGAGGAAACAGCCAATCAGGTACTATGTTCCTCTCGACTTCTTAGAAAAATAAAAATCACTGTGTCTCCTCTCCCCATACTCTTTATGGACACTCTTCTTGGGATCAATTTTGTGGAAAGTAGAGTGCAAGTCAAAGAAAAGCATTATTTTATTTATATTTATTGAGCACATTCTATGTGTCAGACATTGTGTTATATTACTGATAGAATTATTTCAGTCAGTGATATCTGTTCTTTTTGTCTTATTGGTCAATTTATTCTCCTTTTAAGTATCTTTGTTTTTTTTCTGTTCTGAGCTTCAATGCAAAATAGTTTTGTGTGGAGAAACTATCTTCTCTGACATTTTTTAAAATAGCTAGTGACTGTTTCCAATTATATTCTTAATATCTAGTCTAAGTAAAATATCTATGTGCAGAAAATACTGTCTTTATTTTCCTTCACTTATATGCTATTTCTGTTTCCCTCTACCACCAAAAAAGTCACTTCAGGGATTTGATGTCAGCTGTTTTTTAATCGCAACTGCTTCTGTTTAGAATTTCCAGATGTAGTCTCCGTATTCAAAAAACAAGTTTAAAGAATCAAGTAAACTCTTTCTCATGTCTATTGAGATGTGGATCTGCCTTCAATATCTGAATTTTTTTCTGTGTTAAATATAGCTACCACAAATACTTAGAGAAAACTAGAAATCCTACTAGAATTTTACTATTTCTGTTATTAGTCTTCACTTCTCTTTTTCTACCATTACAGGAAATTGGGGCTCCTCATGCTTCTGTAGGGAGTCTTCTGGATGGTCAAAAGGTTAAGCTTTTCACCTTTCTTTTCTTTTCAGTCTTTTCACTGTATCTATTTTCTTATGTTCTTCCTAGTTAACCTGTGTATCTATATCTTTACTGCCACATATGAATTATAAATTCTGTGACAGTGTCTAATTTCATTTAACATCAGATGAACAAAATTATCGCAATGTGATTTTTTACAAACTTGAATTTGATTGTCATTAGTGGATACTCTGAACTTCAAATTGTGAAATGTTTCTTATTGTTATACCTTTCTAGGGAAAAAGTGCTATTTGTAAACATTAATTTGATGGTAATTAGACAAAACAAAACTTGTATATTTTTTACAGTTTTATTAGTAGTATTCTTTTTCCCTTCAGATATTTTTTTTTAAGGCCGATTCTTTTAAGAGAAAGCCTAGTTAAAACAATCTTTTATTTACTATAAGTAGAAGATATTTTATAGTGGGCTGCCTTGTCTTTACTGTACTTTGTAAGCCAGTGACTATAGGATCAACCTTAACACCATAGGATGATGATGAAGTCTTTACTTTGCTTTTGTTTTTCTAATCACCATTTTGACTGGACTATCAATCCTATTTTTCTTTCAAAGAGGGTGGAAAATTGTTCTTAATAGCTGCAGAGCTGAGGAGGACTCCAGAGGCTATGTGACTGAGGATTGTTTAGAATGGGAAAACAAACAAACAAAAATAACAACAACAAAAAAACCTTGGTACCATTTTTCCCATTGTTTGACAAAATGCTATATAATATTGCAGCTGCTTGCCACATGTACTGTTATTGTCCTTCTGGAGGAATGCACCACCCTGCATCAGCTTTTACCCTCCAGAGAAGAAAGTGTTCCATCATGCTTTTATTTTCATGAATAGTTCAGGAATATATTGCCATTGCTTTTTTTCTCACTGCTCCTGTTCCCCCTTCCTCCCCTTACCCCAAGACAAGAGAAAGAATTCATCTTCATAGTTTTTCAGGGAGGTTTTTTCAATGAAGACCATTTGAAATATCATATATACTTACAGATGTTTTTTGTTTCATATGGAATTGAATTTGGCTGAAATTTGTTTTTAAGCTCAGTGGTAAAAATATTCTTAGTGTCTTATTGGAGACGGGATAAGACTCATGACACATTGTAACACAGGGATGGAGATTGTTAACATGACCTTGCTCTGTTTAATACAGGAATACAAAGTCTCCAGCTGTGAACAGAGACTCATCAGTGAAATAGAATACAGGCTAGAAAGGTCTCCTGTGGATGAATCAGGTGATGAAGTTCAATATGGGAATGTGCCTGTGGAAAATGGAGTGGCACCGTTCTTTGAGATGAAGCTGAAACATTACAAAATCTTTGAGGGAATGCCTGTAACTTTCACATGCAGAGTGATTGGGAATCCAAAGCCAAAGGTGAGCTGAAAACAAGACATTTTAAGACTCATATTTTTTGAGGAAGATTTTAGCTTCCAAAATATATCACGTGTGGTAGGAGGAAGAGATACAGACTACCCTCCTCAATACCCACAATGTGAAATGTTTGAAGTACTGTAGGTTCAGGGTCACCTGCAGGAGGCATTGGAAACCGATAAGGGTGGAACAGGGGCGGAATTTGAGTTTGAATAGAGTAGAATAGAATAATAAATAATTGACGAAGAACTTTTCATACACCTGCATCATTTACTCATTGATATTAACTTTATCAGGGTGAGAGAGCTAGCTTGAGTGGCCAAGCTTGAACATGAACCCTGTGCTCTGTACCACATAGAAAAGTATGCTTGCCACTGATTGGAAAAACTTCGGAACTTCAATCTACAAAACCAAGACTTCCTGTGTTTACAGAGGGCTGTGGGGTGGGGTGGGAATACTGCTGAAAAGGATAATCAAAGAAGCATTTGAGGCTCAGGAGGAGCAGGCTGACCTGCTGGGCGCCCTCTCCCTACAGACACACAGGCTGATAGAGAGTTTCCCCATGTTCAAAGGGGAGAAAGCAGTGACTTCTCACCAGCCCAGCAGAGCAGTGAAGGATGCAAAAGACACCCACAAGAAACTGAGACGTCAGATTTACACTAGCACATGATATGGAGCCAAATGCTGAGAAATTAATAGGAAATTTAGTCCAGGATGATAAAAATCGTTGGGTTTCTGGTAAAAGCAAACAAAAATTGCCCCATAGGACACTTTCACAGTTTGGAAAACTGAGTTCCCAGTACAAACTTGCAAACCATTATGAGGAAATAACAGGACAATTAATAGCACAAGAAACAGGGAAATAGAAGCCCAGGTATCACATGATAATGAACAATCTTAAGGAGACTATAAAATAACAATATTAGAATGAATTTTTAAAGGAATAGAAATTTTAATGAAATAAGATAGTACCAAAGACAAGGCAAATTTGTAAAATAAACATACAGAAATGAAAAATATACTCATGAAATTAAAAGCTTAACAGTGGCATGAAAGAGCTGAAATGAGAATCAGACAGAACGAGGGAAAGGGACATACCGTCAACTGAAACTTCCACGTTGATGCCGTTGTTCCGTGTATCATTTTGTC